AAAATATTGACATGCATGTGATGTCTGATAGGGATCAATTGCAGAGTATTCGATGCATGTATATTATGCCTATTCCACCGTCTGTTCGACCGCCATGCTTTATAATTTTTTTTTTTTTGGTATCTTATTAAAAGAAGTGCAATACGAGAACTTTTCATGAGTCACTCATCCTAGTACTGCTTTATAATATCGAATTTTAAATATCGAATAATAGTAACAATTGTACACTTTACAAAATAACAATACTGTGTATTTAGAAATGGGGTCAATTTTATTCATTGATTTTATTTATATTTAACGAAATTTTTGTGATGAATATATAAATTAAAACTTTAAAATATAAATAAAATAATAATTAAGATTTGAGATAAAATTTATTATTCTTATACAAATATAGATTGATCATATATCAAAAGAAAGTTATGAAAAAAATCAGCAAAAGTTTATCGAAATGTTGTGATTGATTACTAGTTAAATCAAAATAATAGCAATTATAGTGTTGATGTCCTCTATATGATTTTGAGCTCCGATCAAATTGACCAGGTTTATGATGAACCAGTGAAAAAATAAAATAGAAACCATTTATCATAAAAAGGTTAGTTGTAATTTCAACTGATCTGACAAAAAATTTAACAGTTTTTGATAAAGTATAACATTTTCTTATTTACAATATATTAACGGGTTTAGTATTTATTAAGCTATAGAAAATATAAATGTTTTTTTACCTTTTAAGATTCGGGACAAAAATACAGATCATTCAAAAAAAATCATGTTAAAATAAAAAAGCAAAATTCGAATCAAAATAAAAAAATTATAATATTAAGGAAGTCGCTCCGAATATGAGCCCGTTCAAACCGATTCAAATCGCAGTGACCGAATCACAAAAACTCACATATTTTAATTGGATTTGATTGATTTTAAATTTGGTTGGTGAAAATCGATTTGATCCAAACGATCCAATGTATTATATATTTATTATTTTTGAAATATGGTGACTTGGAATCTTGTCATTTTGTAAACTATGAATCTTGGATGTTATTGATAGCAAACTATCTTGTTTTAGTTTTTTATTGTCTATTAATCATGGATAAAGAATTTCTCCAGTCAATGGAAATAAGTTATCTTCGATGAGCCCAAAACGACGTCGTTTTGAGGCGAAAATTAAGGTATTTTTATAATTATAATATATTATAGGATTATATTTGTCTTTATTATTATAATTTTTTAGGGAAGAATATTTCTTCGGTCAGCGAAAATAAAATTATCTCTAGTGAGCTTAAAACGACGTCGTTTTAAGTTCACTGGAGATAATTTTATTTCCGCTGACTGGAGAAATATTATTCCCTAAAAAACTATAAAGACAAAGACTAATATAACCCTGTAATATATTATAATTACAAAAACACCTTGATTTCTGTCCCAAAACGACGTCGTTTTGTGCTCGCTGAAAATAATTTTATCTCCGATCACTGGAGAAATCCTTTACCCAATTTTTTAATCTTATAAGTCTAAAATGACATAGTTTCGAGCTCACTGAAGATAACTTTATCTCCGGTAATTAGAGAAATATTTTTCGCTTAATCTATTTTAACTCTTTATAAATTTTACTCTTCATGTATCATTCAACGTACAAGCTTTCCTTCCAAAATTATCAATGGTTTCTTCTCTTTCGCTTTCTCTTAATTTCCCACCTTTTCTACTTGATCACTTTTATGATATCAGAACCCATTTTCAGGGCTTGATCAATTTCGAAACCAAGTCTTGTCTTATGCATTAGATTCTACATGTTCAAATGCAAATAAAGAATATCTAGCATCACAACTCTTTTAAGGGAAAATATACTCTTATGTTATAGGAGAGTGTTTTTATTTCCTACATATACATCGATTTTCGTGTTATTTTTTTTTTTTTTTTTTCTATAAGTGAGTGGATCCCACATATGATTGTCTCTATAACATGAGAGAACTCCCTCCTATTGCATAAGATTAATAAAGCCGCTCTTTTAATCATCAAGTGACAATCAAGATAATTGGGACAGCTATTTATTTTTGGAGTGAGATTGTATATCTGGTCATTACTTTGCATCATATGCACTGTTTCTTAGTAAATCCCAAAATTCCGCTTCGTTTTGAGTCAGAATAAGATTGCGTTGATGGCATTCAGAATCCTTCCTATGCAGAGTAGTTAACTCAGGACTCAATGCTTCTATCATATGAATTGGTTTTGATTTAGCCTATAAAAGGATTTTTAAAACTCTATGGTAGGAATTGAATATTTTTTATTTTGATATTGTAATTGAGAATGAAGAGTTTATTTTTATATCAAATTCAGTTTCTATTATTTAGTCATTTTTTATATGCTTTCGGCATTATTATTTATTTTATTTTATTTTTTTAAAAGGGAAATGATGTGTTATCGTTGGCTTTATTATTTTTTCCCCGTTTAATTTTTTAAATTATCTGTTTAGATAAAAAATAATAAAATAATTTTATATTTACTTGTATTTTTTTTAAAATTGATATACTTTTTTAAAAAATTTATAAATTCATGTTATATTTTCAAATCTTGTAATTTTTAATAATAAATCATTTAAAATACAGTTATATAAAGTCTCGAACATAATTTTTTGAAAAAAGTCTTTCAATAATATTTTAAAATATTATAGTTTTTTATCCTAAAATAATATTTTAAAATCTTAATTAATACACTCGTTAATCCTAACCATTGCAGCCGATTTTTTTTTCTTCACATTTTAAAAGTTCGATACCTCATATTTATTTTTTTGTGAGTCCTGTATTGTGCAACAATATATATTATGTGAAAAAAGCATCGTATTTATATAAAATAAAAGTTATTTATTTATTAATTATTAGTATTAAATTGACAGTTTGATATTTGTCTTTTAAAGAATATAGAGTTATATCATTTTAAATAAAAAAAAGATATAACTAATAAAAATTATGGAAAAAAAGTGAGTAATTTTTTTAATTTTTATTTTAAAACAAAAATATTAATTTTTTATTATTTAAAATTATATAATTTTATATCTTTTAAAAAGATAAATATTTTTTCTTAAATTGAATATGTAGTAAAACAAAAATATTAAATTGAATAAACGTTCATATTTGGCGGGGAAGGGTGGAGGGAAATGACAGCTAGTAGTCCGTAGTACAGAAAAGTGACATGAGAATGCAACGGACGCTTTCGTTCATGTCAGCGGAGCACACGCGTCGACACGGGAGAAAACAACACACTCTGCACGTACCATTGGTCCCTCTTCTTTCTCCCTTCCACTTTTACTCTTTTGCCCTTTTTTTCCTTGTTTTCCATTTATAACCATAACCCACAGTTGTCATTGCAATTAGTCTATTAATATTACCAACCTTTAACCCTTCTCGTTGATCAGGGGGAGGATAATTTTTTATACCGGAAATAATAATTTGAAAAATTATTATTTTTAAAATATTATCAAAAAATTATTTAATAGGTTGAAATATTAATGAGATTTTGTTCCTAAAAAATGTAAAATTTTTGCAGCACCTGAGAAAACAAAATTTCAAAAAAATCAAATTTTCAGAATAAATTTCAGAAATCTTATATCAAATGTGGATAAATATGATTATCATTATCACTTTTTCAAAAAATTCCCCCAACAAAACATCCACAAGAGTGAAAAAAAGGTTTATAACATTTTTCAATTGTATTCTTTTTGTCAGAGAATAATATAAATCATTAAAAAAGTTTTTATCCAATAGTTTATGTCTTTGAATTTAATTGTTTTTATATATAGTATCTGAGTTTCAGTAGTGACTAAGTGATTAAGCGTATTCGATTCTTACCGTTCCATTTTTTAGTCGAATTAAACAAAACAAAAGATAAACTAAAAATTAAGCATGGACAATATTCACGCTTCAAGTCTAAAGGATTTTTATATGAAAAAATGTGTTAGAGAATAACATAAATTATTAAAAAAATTCTTACATAATAACTTAAATTTTCAGGTTGAATCGATTCTTTATTTATTTATTTTATTATTATTTTTTTACACCGTGTGAAATTTCAATACATAAAAAAAAAGGTATTTGTTAGGAAAGTTTGTAGTTTATTAGAGGGATGTCCGTTTTGTATTGACCAACAGTGGCGACGCTCTGTATATTTGGAAATTGCATTATTATAAATGTTACTTTCGGGTTAATCGGCAACCGAAAAAAGAAAAGAAAGAAGGTAAGACATAATTGGCGCTCGTACTTTATTATGTTGAGCGAATTTAAAGGATTTTTTTTGGGGGTAAAATTAATGTGCTGAGCTATAAATATTTACATGCCAAAATAGAGTAAGATCTAATTGGGATTAGATGCGACGATGGGTTGAGAAATTGGTGACTATCCGCAAATTATGCAGACACGTTAAAATTGATTTATATTCTCCTAAATATTTCAGGTACACCTTCCAACGTTTCTCTTCTAATAAATATTCACATAAATATGTTTATTATTTTCTCTTATTTTTTTGTTATTAATTCTGTTTGTTCTTATTTTCATTAATTACGGAGTGTCTCTCCCTCTCTCAGTATCCGTGTCTATCTCGCAATATGATTACAAAATAGTAATTGCACTTTCTTGTTTTGTATGAATTTTACATATACAACACTGTCCCCAACCCCACTCTCTCTCTCTCTCTCAGCCTTTTACCCTAAAAAGGGGCGTTCGTTTCCTTCATAAGCCTCTATCCTGCGGCAGTCTTTTCAGCCAAAGTTTGAAAGAGTGAGAGAGTATCGGCAGAGAGAAACAAAGGACTGTGTGGTTTCTATAGTGATTTTGTTCTTGTTTTCATAGATTGTTATTTGTTCCTTTTAATCATTTCAATAACTCCATCATACTACACCTACAACTATTGTGTCTGAAACACAGACCCCATCTATAATCTTAAAAAAAAAAAAGCTTCATTTTTTTGCTTGTTCTCTGCAATTGGAAGGAGGGAGATTTTTTTAAGGTACTGCAATGGCACCCAGTTTTGATTGTGTTTCAAGCCTCCTTTGTGCAGAGGACAGCAGTGTTTTCGACGATAGTCATTATGGGGGTACGATGGATGTGTACGAGGATTCGTGGCGTCCTAGGTACCATCATGGAAGGAGCGATGACTTTGGTTACCCAGATGAGTTGCCAGTGCAGAGTGATGAGTGCTTGGCGTTGATGGTGGAAAAGGAAAGCCAACACTGGCCTGGTGCCGGTTACTTTAATAGGCTACAGAGTGGGGATTTGGACTTAGGGGCCAGAAAAGAGGCCATTGATTGGATTGAAAAGGTGGGTTCAAGAGTGAGTTTGGTTTTATATGCTCTTTAATGAGCCCAAACTCTAATCTTTCTCAAGCATGTTCATTTTAATGTTTTTGCTTGTGAAAAAATGGGTTGTTTCTGAAATCATTGTGTTTGCTTTTGATGGTCTGAAATGAAATCTGAGCAGTGAGTTAATGAACTCATTATAACAGTTCCGTACATCATTCAGTGTTTGATGATGATTACATTGGTAATTTTTGGGCTGCTTGGATTCTCCTTGGATATTCTGAATGGAATTCTTTTTTTTCATCCATTTTAAGATGTTCTAAACTAGACTCACATTTCAGTTTTGCTCTAACAAACTGGATTTGGCTTGATATGAGGATTGACCTTTTTGCTATGACCTAACTAACGAACCAATACCCTTGTTTTATAGGTCCGATCGCATTTTGGTTTTGGTCCTCTCTGTGCATATCTATCCATAAATTACTTGGACCGCTTTCTTTCTGCATATGAATTACCAGTAAGTCAAGGAATGAAGAGAAGGAAAAAAAAAATCCTTTTTTTTATGTTTCAATGTTCTCTAGTGGTTATGATCTAGTCTTTTCACTCGCAGAAGGGAAGAGCTTGGACAATGCAATTGATGGCTGTGGCGTGTTTATCTCTTGCAGCCAAAATAGAAGAGACTGAAGTTCCTCCGTGTCTTGATTTGCAGGTAAGAAATTATCTTCTTTTCAATGCTTGGTACTTGTTAAATCAATGTATCAATTTTTGCATGTGCTGATGCGTTGTCTTTACTTCAGGTGGGTGAATCCAGGTTTGTATTTGAAGCTAAAACCATACAGAGAATGGAGCTCCTTGTACTGAGCACATTGAAGTGGAGAATGCAACCAATTACTCCTTTCTCCTTCATTGATTATTTCCTTTGCAAGATCAATGATGATCAAAATTCATTAAGATCTTCAATTTTGCAATCCATCCAACTTATACTCAGCACTGTAAAAGGTACCCGTCTGTTTTCCTCCCTGAATTCATTGCCCAAAGTAATAATAATTATGGATGGGAGGATTCAGAGATGATAATTTAGATGTTGTGAATTCAATGCAGGGATTGACTTCTTGGAATTCAAACCATCTGAGATTGCAGCAGCAGTGGCTATATCAGTTGTGGGGGGAACCAAAACAATTGACACTGGGAAAACAATTTCTGTTCTGATTCAATATGTAGAAAAGGTAGAGATGGTGGTCCAATGACAAGGAAAAAAAAGTGAATATAAATGATGGTTTTACTTTTTGTCATGATCATTTTGATTTCATTACTTGCAATTAATCAAATTAATTGATGATGGTTGTTTAATTGATATTAACATTGTGTTTTTGGGGTTTTGGCAGGAGAGATTATTGAAGTGTGTTAACATGATCCGGGAGCTGTCATCAAACAGTAACTCTGCCAATGATTCAAGTGTTTCTGTCCCTTGTGTGCCGCAAAGCCCAATAGGTGTGTTGGATGTTTTATGCTTCAGCTACAAAAGTGATGAAACAGATGCTGGTTCTTGTGCAAATTCATCACATAATACCCCAGATGCCAAAAGAAGGAAACTAAACAAAACCTGTGGAGCAGAGCTATTGTAGAATGATGTGGATTGGGATTTTTACCATCATCCATAGGATGCTTTTCCAGAAAAGGACATTATGAGTGTTTTATGGAAAGTGCCCCCCACAAAGTAAAAATACCAAAATGAGTCAAGAAGAGATAGCTACAAATAATTTTCTTTTTCTTTTTCTTTCTTTAAAAAAAAAAAAAAAGACCTGAGCTGAGCTGAGGGTAAAGGATACCAAAACTATAAGGTGGGTCATGAGTGAAAGATGGGTGATCAAATGAATGGTCCATGCATTGCATGCTCTTTGCATGAAGTGAGTAATCACCAGCTGTTAAATATTTTAGATCTCTTAACAGCGAGAAAACTGAGAAACTGAAGGGGGGAGAGGAATAAGGATTAGTTATTGTTTGTGTAAGTACACATTCAGAGTTTTTCATTCGTTTAATTTTGTTCTACTTTTAAAATGAGGGAGGAAAATAGACCAAAAAAAATGGCAGAGCTACTAGCTTAAGGTACATTTGCGGGAAATATTTTAAGTCATTATCTTTATGCTATTAGTTATAAAATTAGCTTCATGTTCAGATTCTGAAAAAGTTTCTAAAAAATTCTATATTGTTCTGTTATCAAGCAGATTCTACTTTACTGCATACGAGCTTTATTAGCAATTCAATGTGACGCTTTGACCGTTAGACCATTGCTTTATTATTGATAACATCATTGTTCCGCATGCACCAACTGTTAGGCTAGAAGAAATGTACTAAAATGAAAAACTGTTTATCTTCCAGCTGAGTCGTAAATGGACCAAAACTTGAATCTTAACTACAGCATGAATCACCATTGATGACCCTTGTAGTCATATCTTTATTTCTATACAATTATGCTGTCACATCGCACACATTTGTTCGATCCAAGTTCAATTAGCTACATTTTATATTTGAATTTAATTTTAACTCAAGTAAATTTATTTTGCCTTATCATCTCTTTATATATTAAATAATTAAATTTATTAAAACTTTCTGTAATTAATTATCACAATTACTATCTAAGTCTAACTTTTGTAACATAAAAATTATATATCAGCAATAGATTAAATTTAAACTTTTATGCACGCAAACATATAACGTTTTTTTTTTACGTTATTATTTAATAATAGTTACTTAAATAATAAAGAAAAATGTATACTGATAATAAAGTAAAAGTAAACTTATTGTATTTTATGTCTATTAAAATTTAAATTTTATATGGTGGTATCTGGATGTAGGCGTACCACTTTTTGTTTTTCAATAGTAAGTGAAACTTCATAAAAATTTTGTAGACTTCACTTATTATTGAACTTTGAGTTACTTAAGTCGAAAACTGATAAAAGATGAATTTGGATTCTCTCGTGTAAAAAATAGTTATGTTATTTGATCGCATTCACTCATTTAAAAAATTATACATTTTTTTCTATCTTATATTGTTATTAACGAGTGGCTGTAATTAAATAATATGACCATTTTTTCATATAAAGGATGTATATTTTTAAATAGGGAGTAATAAACCATATAAATGATGTGTTGTATATTTAATGGTATGAAACAGAAGAAACCTCTTATTCCAACAACACACAATAATTGTTACTTACTCCACGAGTTTCATTTTCTCAGTTGTCTTCGTTTCATAATTGCAGTAGCACGCCAAACGCCATTAATTGTACTGCTTTGAATACCTTCTTGGTGATTGGTAGTTATCCCTTCTATTTTCCCCATTGTTTAAAATAAAATTGAGCGCTGGCCTCTATATGATTTAATGCAAATAGTTGGGCTTCATTGAGGGTTCTAAGTTCTGATTTATGCAAAAATTATCGTGTCATTCCAAGAATCCATCTTAGCTTAGGAAAAAGGCAATGTTCTCAAAGGCATAATTGAGTCTGTTAAAAAAAATGCATCTTACCTTAATTTAATTGCTTTTGTAAAGAAACTTGGGATACACCAAAAGATGGGAGTGCCCAAGGTCTTATAAATATATTAGTTACTCATACAACTAAGAGAAAGTGGGGGGCAGCGAAGTTTTGAACCTGGGATACGAGGCTCTGATACTATGTAAAGAACATTGGAATACACCACCCCAAAAGCTATCTCAAAGGGTGGGAGTGTCCAAGGCCTTATAAAGACCATATTAGTTACTCATACAACTAATGTGAGACTATATATCTCAACAGTTTTTGTTTTTTGTTTTGTAGGTCAAATCTCATTTCGCATTGGTCCTCTCTCTGCACTTCTATGATTCTATCCATTAATTACATGGATTGCTTCCTTTCTGCATATGATTTACCAGTAAGTCAAGACATGGTTTGAATATAGTTGGCTGTGACGTGCTTATATATTTATGCAATATGCATATATTTATTAATTTATATTTTTCCATGTTATAATTAATTTTATATATGTATATATTTATTGATTTATATTATTGTAACTTCAACATGTAATAATTAATTTTGTACATCTATATATTTATTAATTTCATATTTCTACACATGATAATTAATTTTATTTGCACACACACACATATATATATATAGATACATACATACATAGATATATATATATATTAATTTATATTTGTGCAATTTATGTTTTAGCTCATTATTAGTAATCTGATATATATATATATGTGTGTGTGTGTGTGTATATATACTTATTAATTTATATTTTTGTACATTTTAATTTATCTTATCTGCTTATATAATTAAAATTTATATTTCTGTAATTATTAATCTTGTCTATGTATTTATATTTATACACTTTTTATTTATTTTTATATTATATTTTTAATTTTCTTATATTTTAAAACATTTATCGTTATTGTAAATTGATTATTTAAATGATACATTACGAACTGCTACATGATTTAGAATAAGATGTTTGTGTGAATTATAAACATAAACTATAAGAAGTTACTATATCCAAGTGTTCAAGCCATGAATGAAATCTCAACTCAATATTTTTTGCGAGCTCTGATAATGCTTTCAACTTTAACTATATTTTTCTCCACTATTTTAATTTCAATTTAGATGATAAAAAAATGAGTTGTTTCAATAACAAATATATTTAGATGAAATCCTTACCAAAAAAAATGAAAAATAGATAGATTGATAGATAAAACTCAAGTGAAGGAATCCCCTAGGCCAATAGGGAGAAGAAAAACTTATGCAAAAGAGTATGAATCATGAGGCCTCTCTGGATGGGATTTTGGACCCCATATATCTATATATCAACTATTTAGAAAAAAAACCTAAAACCCAACAATAATGGCCCAACATTTGAACCGTGAGTGGGGGTTCTCATAATGGACCATTCAGGCATCTACTTTATGTTATGTAAGTATGTACCGCCAGTGCCAATACAAGCACCATGACCCATGACAATCCATAGAGCCACCAATCAAAGGCTACGAACTGATTGACCCAAAATCGGACCCAAAAGCTTTACGGACATAGGCAGGAAGCATCGTTCATTGCTTGGTTGTTGTTGGTAACGTGAGGTTTACTTTAATGTTAAAAAAACACGAAAAATGTAAATTGAGCACACTATACAATGCTGTATCTGTAAAACAATGTTTTGACTAGAAAATAGGGAATGGGTGACCCCTTTATATATGATAATATGGGTTGACTATGGAGTGGGAAATGGGGAAGGAATCTAAATTATAATCGATATTTTCTTCCGTATTCTTGGGGTACGTAACTTTGTGTACTCTCTCTCTCTCTCTCGGGAATTCACTTCGTGTTGCACAGCACGCGTGATCAACAAATATCAAATATTGCTGCTACTTGGTTTGGTTCAACTATCCCAATTCTTTACGTAACTCAACAAACTGGCCCACTCTCTTCATTCAGCTATGGGCTCAGGTTTGGCTAGATACTAAATTACAAATCGAGTTTATTTTGTCGGCCTGAGAGTTTTAAGTTTTAACGAGTCAAGTTTCAAGATTATTATTTAATTGGAACTCATTTCAAAATAAAAGTTGATAGTGCAATTAATTTTAACAAAGTTTGTGTTTCGTTTACTTTTTGTTTTTTGTTTTGTCCTCTCCAGCTTTGAATTTGTCAAGGTATGACTATAGTATATAGTACAAGTACTGAAGTACACGACGGGTGGGATATAAGAACAAAGACTCTAGTGCTTAATTTAATTAGGAACTTGGGAGGGTGATGACATCAAAGCAAAAAGAACATACTTGTAGCTAATGGGAATATCCTGATTTATAATAAGCAAGTGACGAATGAATTTTCCTACAATATTAAAGGTGAGAGTGAGACCTTTGTCCGACAAATTATAATAGTTCAAATTATTAATAAATTATGATCATTAGATACAAGTAAAATCAACGCCTAATAATAGGTATAATACTAATATTGGGTGTAAAATTATCATTCCGAAACAATCTAACAAATAATTTCAAAGTATTTTATTGAGTTGATGAAATTTATAAAATTTCATACATAATTTATACTCCCTCACACGTTTTCATTTTAAAGTATAATATTTTTTTAAACATAAGTAAATTATCAATCATAATATTACGTACCCATGAATGTTTGATTTATCTAAAATAACATCACTTAATTTAATGATCAATTTTACTCAGTTTCTATTTTATGAAAAAAGTAAGAGAGGTTATATTTACAAATTTTTTGTTTACAAACTCTTATAAATTACACTAAGTATGACCGGTCATACTTCAATCAAGAGTATATGATCGCTCATACTTATTATAATTTGTAAAAAAATATTACAAACGGATCCTTCCTCAAAAATTAAAGGGTAAAGGATTTCTCCAGTCAATGGAGATAAGTTATCTTCGGTGAGCCCAAAACGACGTCGTTTTAAGACGAAAAACAATGTATTTTTGTAATTATAATATATTGCATGGTTATATTAGTCTTTATCATTATAATTTTTTAATTTTATAACCCAAAACGACGTCGTTTTGAGCTCGCCGGAGATAACTTTATCTCCGGTGGCTGGAGAAATACTTTTCCCAAAA